TACAAGCTTTTAAGAACCAGATGATTCTATCTAGATGATGGGACTAAACAATTATCAATCCCCCAATTAGAACTCGAAGTTGCAGCTATTTGGTGGCGGATTTAAAATTCTTCTATCTTAGAAACGTTTGTACACTTTTGGTTTCATCCTATGCGTTTGAGGAGGTAGTACTATATATAATTTGGACGCAAAATGAAGACACCGCACCTATGAAATTACAGAGATACATATGAACAAGTCTTCATGGATATCAACCAATACAGTCAGTAGGCCAAGATGAACTTACTAAATGAGGCCAACACAAAAGTTTTCATCTTGTTTATAAGTAGTTGCTGATAGGAAAGAATTAGTTTCAGAAGTCTATAATTTGTTTCCTAACAGAAATGTAGCAGAGACGTAGAGTCTATTATGACTAAAGGGAGACTCAACTGGATGATTCTATTGAGGTCCAATGGGGTGTGTGTATATATATAGTACATGAGGGACACAAGAGGAAAACCCTTGACATATGAGATTTCAATAATACCCTTGACACCCCTCTCAAATGCAACATGAATGCAATGTCGTTGCATTTGGAGAGTTGGCACTATGCACTAGACTTAAAAAAAGACAAATCACATCCAAAATCCAAAATAAAACTTGTCGTCGGAGCGTGCAACTCTTGAACAATGTCGATATAGAAAAAAAAATCTCCTCTACAAGAGTTATTGCCTCCACAACCCGTACTTCAGCAAATACCTGAAGTCTTCACAACACAATACATCAACTCTTCAACAATGAACCTTGCTTTGGAGACTTTGAACTCGATGAGAATATAGAGATATGTCAAATCAAGCCAAAGAAAGCACAAAGAGCTGTTGCAAGACGGCACGTAGTAGGAATAATGATGATGACAAATAGAAGTCCATTGATCATAAAGTGTAACAAAATGGCTACGAAGGAGACCAAGAGGGCATAGTCGCATCAATGATGATGATGATTAGCTAAATCGATGGGACTTGACTAACCATAAAATAAAATAAAAAATAGTTGATTTGACAATAAATTTGTGGACACGAACGACATGCGAGGGGGGCGGACAAGCGCCTCCCCCGACTGGTGTGTCCTGTGGCACGGGACGCTGCTGGCACAACAAAATGGATCGGGGGAGGAGGGGGGAGGTGACATAGTTGGCTTGGTCCGTCGACCGGCATTGCTCGAGAATGGCCGCTACAAGGGACTGGAGGAGGGAGCATCACTTCTGCAGCAATCGGAGCAGGGAGCAGACGCGTCGTCTGCGAGGCAAACAGCAGCATGAGAAGGAATGGACGGAGACCTACACACATGACTTTCCCTCTATCAGGGCTGGGTTCGGGCTGGGCCCATGTAGGACCCAGTTGTGATAATAACAAAAAATAATTACTTCATTAAATTGACTGCTTTGAGATGTGTGCAGTTAAAGAGGGGTACCGGAGCAGTTCTCTCTTAAAAATGTAGCTTCGGTAAGCGGAGGAAGTGCAATACAAACGTCAAGGGCGATAGCCTGGCAAGAGAAAAAAAGAAAAAAAAGTAAAAGGGAAAGAAGAGACTCGAGAAATCATAAGTCATTGAGTCAATAGCCCCCAGAAGAGCAGCGTGAGGTTATTTGAAAGCAGCATGAGCTCTAGTAGACATCTCTCATGCCTTTAGGCCCTCGTGTACTGTTGAACCAATGCCCGACATGACTTTTGTTTGGTTAAGGCATCACTTCTACCGGTGCCCGAACACTACAACCACCGATGCTTAAAAAAAAAAATGGCTTCGGCGCAAGTAGAGGCATCGGTGCATGCTCATTAAACAATTGTCTGCGGGCGTTGAAAAGCCAGAGCAGTACAAGCAGAGAAAAAGCGAGTGGAAATTTACTAATCATATATTATGAGTCCTACTACAGAAGAGAGTGACGCTTCACACTGCAGCGTTTACTAGGGAAGCTATTGCCTCAAAATTCTAAGTTTTTTTCGGTCTCTCTCCATCACATCAATTTTTGGACGTATATATGGAGCATTAAATATAGGTAAAAAAATAACTAATTACATAGTTTGGTTGTAAATCACGAGACGAATCTTTTGAGCCTAGTTAGTCCATGATCGGACAAAGTTTGTCAAATACAAACGAAACATGCTACAGTATCCAAATTGCAAAAATTTGTAATCTAAACAAGGCCCTAGCAATTTTCTGACAAGACGTTTTAGGAGGCCATCCACAGCATGTGCTTGGAGTGATACCTAAATAAGAGAGCAAAGAAACAAGCGTTGAGCAAAGAAACAAGCAACGCTTGCCGCTAAGACCGTCTCCAACAGAGCAGCCATCGCGTGACCCAAATGCATAATAGGTATTTCACAGTGTTTTTGCATACTGAAAACGTTCTGCAACCGAAGACGCTGACAAGGTAGCCATTTTGCGTATGAGACGAGGTGGAAGGCAAACATGCGTCGCCTCTCCCGCAAGACGCAAATCTCTGACGCCGGTAATGGTGGGCCCGTCGAAGGCATCTGGTGGAGCGGACAACGGCGGCGAGCTGCTTCCACGGACGACGATGGCGAGGTGCGCCCGCACCTAGAAGCTTCGCGCGAGGGAGGTCGTGTCTGCACTGCCGGTGGAGGCTGCCCTGCTCGCCTGTCCGCGCTGCTCCACGATGGCTGCTGCTGGACCGCGACGGCGGCCGCGAGCTGCTCCACGGCGGCGACCGCGGACGACGACGACGGTGGCGGCCGCGAGCTGCTCCACTGCTGGACCGCGGCGGGGTAGCTCGACGAGGACAGAGAGGTGGGGTGGGATTTGGGTTTGACTGTTGGAGAAGCCACAAATTTGGGTACGCAGGGTCTTTACTGTAGGTGATGCAAACGTGGAATGGGTGCTCTATTTGCCTCCCCGCTGTTGGAGATAGCCTAAGTGATGCTACTAAAAATCGGTGCGGGGCAAGAACATTCAGCCCATTCGTTTCGTCTGAAACGATTATCGATTATTACTGCTGGCTGATTTGGTATGAGAGAAAAATACTATTCTAACTTATAATCCACAATCGTTTACGACCAAGCAAACAGGCTGATTCATCGGTGCCATGTTACTATACAACAATAAATCCATCGGTGCCATGTTACTATACAATAATAAATCTACTATAGCAGCACACAGTAGCCAAACCCAAAAAAATTTGGGAACTAAACGCGCCCTCACCTAGAGAGCAGAACACAATCAACCCTTGCAATTTTACTCAAGTTCTAAAATTTGTCACCTGTTTTCACAGGACAATACTTTAAATAAATCTGAGCCATTGTTTTTTTAGATTTTTTAAATTAATTAAATAATTAATCTAGACAAATAAAAAGGAAATATTGTCAAATTCCTCCCGGAGACGGAACGAGCTGATCCTCTTCCTTTAATTAACGTGCGTAGCCTTCCTTCCTTCTTTTCCTTGCCCTTCCTTCTATTTCGTGTGCACCTTTCTTTTTTCCTTTTATAAATCTTAATTTATTTTAACAAATGCTATATGCATTGAAATATTTATGTATATTTTTATCAATATTAGATATGTACAACAAGAATGATAGGGTACCATAAAAGAGTTTTAATGGTTTTATCATGTATAAAGCATGATGATATTTTTGTCTTCAAAGTGGTTTTTTTTTGTGATACACAGTCATATTAAAGTCATGTTAGATACTCAATTTAAAAATGCATTACATATATGAAAATATCAATAGCTAACACGTTAATTGAACCATGAATTTTGATGATCTAAAACATGTTACACACGGTAACACGGTACATAATCGTGTTTGTACATTATGCTAACTCGATTAAAACTATGTTACATAATTGAAAGAACATTTTAATAAAGCACGTAGTGGCCCTGTTCGGCTTACTGAAACTTGGCTGAAAGTGGCTGAAAAACACTGTTCTGGCTGAAATGTTGTGAGGAAAAAACACTGTTTCGGCTGAAAAAAGAAGCCGAACAAACCGGATATAAGGTAAGCCGACCGGAGCCTATTGAACATGGAAAGTGGCGACATAGCGCCTTGGGCACTTATATTATATACGTGCACCGCGTTGATGTGCATAAAAAAGATAGTTTTTTCTAATTAAAATATGTCATGTCGTATCTAAAGTTGTAAAACTAAAAAAGATTTACCACATCCAATAGATTAACCCATGCATCAATTATATCGTACATGCATCTTTATATCTTAAAGTTTTCTTATTTATCATTTTTTACAAAAAATTGAAACTAAAAATATATATTTCACCTATTGCCTTCTAGAAGTTAATAAATGATTTTAATCATCTGATCTAATTAAATTAACGGCCCATAGTTATTTGGAAGTACCACCGCAAAGCTTGTTTTTTCATTAACAAATTAATATATATTAAAAAAAATCCGTCCATGGTCGTGCCGGTGCTTTGCGAAGCATCCTGAAAACGCGCAACATATGACCACCATTTCCATTAAAGAAGAGGTACGAAGAGGTACATGTTCTCTCGGACCTAAGCTGGAGCGACCCGAGCCGTCCATACACCATCGGACGGATCTCCGCGGTTCGTAGCCGCTACGAAACAACTAGCTAACTTGGCTGCTACTCCGCTGTGTCGGCTTTACAAGTAGGCGTTCAGAGCGCAGACCACTTCACGGCTCGTCGCCTCCGCCTCATCTCGTCATTTCCCCCGCTCCGCCTCCTCAGCAGCAGCAGGTTTGTCCCCTTCTTCTCTAAATCCCATGTCTGTTTTAACTGTTTCGTCTGTTCTTCGTCCCTGTGATGCTCTACCGTATGTGTTCTGCGTGTCCGATTTCTCGCGTTTCCATTCACCTATAGTCTGTGCACGTGCTGTCGGTGCTGATGAAGGTGAATCACCATGCTGCGATGTAGGAGTAGGGCTATCGCTTAGCCTTACTACATGCTCTGCTCTTGCAGGAGATCGAGGAGAGATCAGAGATCCATCCTTCGCCTTGCTCTTGGCGTCACCTTTTGGGGCCGGCCTTCACGATGGTTAAGGTCACCGCCGGCCAGCTCCGCGCGAGCATGGACAAGAAGCACAACATCAGGAACATCTCCGTCATCGCGCACGTCGATCACGGTCAGCTCTCCTTTGCTCTCTCTGTTTGTTCCTTAACCAATGGCGCGGCATTGGCCTGCATATGCATTATGTGACGTCAGGAAACTAACTCGCACATTTACTACTTGTTGGTATTCTTTTTGGTACATAAGGATGTTGTGTGAATCTGTGATCGTCAGGTCACTATTGTATTGCCTATGCGTGGAATTAACTATTGTACTACCACTTTGACCGCAGGAAAGTCGACGCTCACCGACTCCCTGGTGGCCGCGGCGGGCATCATCGCGCAGGATGCGGCCGGCGGCGTGCGGATGACGGACACGCGCGCGGACGAGGCCGAGCGCGGCATCACCATCAAGTCCACGGGCATCTCCCTCTACTACGAGATGGCTGAGGACACCCTGGCGCGCTTCGGGGCTGCCCGCGACGGCACCTCGTCGTACCTCATCAACCTCATCGACTCGCCTGGGCACGTCGACTTCTCGTCGGAGGTCACGGCAGCGCTCCGCATCACCGACGGCGCCCTCGTCGTCGTCGACTGCATCGAGGGCGTCTGCGTCCAGACCGAGACCGTGCTCCGCCAGGCCCTCGCCGAGCGGATCAAGCCCGTCCTGGTCGTCAACAAGATGGACCGCTGCTTCCTTGAGCTCCAGGTGAGGTGCTCGCTCCCCTCAGTCGGCCTGCTTACTTACATGACTGTGTGTGCGTGTTCTGCTGCTACCCTGCACTGTAGTACGGAGTCCATAGATGTGTGACAGAGGTGACGTGTCGTGCAGCAAAACGGCGAGGAGGCGTACCAGGCGTTCTGCCGCGTGATCGAGAACGCGAACGTGGTCATTTCAACGTACGAGGACAGCAGGCTGGGCGACTGCCAGGTGTCGCCGGTGAAGGGCACGGTGGCGTTCTCGGCGGGGCTGCACGGCTGGGCGTTCACCCTGTCCGATTTCGCCAAGATGTACGCCGCCAAGTTCAACGTGGACGAGGCCAGGATGACGGAGCGGCTCTGGGGCGAGCACTTCTTCGACACGGCCACCCGCAGCTGGTCCACCCGGCACACGGGCTCCCCGACGTGCCAGCGCGGGTTCGTGCAGTTCTGCTACCAGCCCATCCGGCAGATCATCCAAGCGTGCATGAGCGACGACGGCGGCGGCAAGGAGAAGCTGTGGCCGATGCTCCACAAGCTCTCCGTGGCGCTCAAGGCCGAGGACAGGGAGCTGTCGGGGAAGGCGCTCATGAAGCGCGTCATGCAGGCCTGGCTGCCCGCCAGCGCCGCGCTGCTGGAGATGATCGTCTTCCACCTGCCGTCTCCTGCCAAGGCGCAGCCGTACCGCGTGGAGACGCTCTACGAGGGGCCCCTCGACGACGCGTACGCCACCGGCATCCGCAACTGCGACCCCGAGGGACCCCTTATGCTCTACGTGTCCAAGATGATCCCGGCCAGCGACAAGGGCAGGTTCTACGCATTCGGCCGGGTCTTCTCCGGCACGGTGGCAACCGGCACCAAGGTCCGCATCTTGGGCCCCAACTACGTGCCCGGCGGGAAGAAGGACCTCTTCGTCAAGACGGTGCAGCGGACGGTCATCTGGATGGGCAAGAGGCAGGAGTCCGTCGAGGACGTGCCCTGCGGCAACACCGTGGCCCTTGTCGGCCTCGACCATTTCATCACCAAGAACGCCACGCTCACCAACGACAGGGCGGTGGACGCGCACCCCATGAAGGCCATGAGGTTCTCCGTCTCGCCGGTCGTGCACAAGTCCGTGGCGTGTAAGAACGCCGCCGACCTGCCCAAGCTCGTGGAAGGGCTTAAGCGCCTCGCCAAGTCGGACCCCCTTGTGGTGTGCAACGTCACGGAGACCGGTGAGTACGTCATCGCCGGCGTGGGGGATCTCCATCTAGAGATTTGCCTCAAGGATCTGCGGCAGGACTTCATGAGCGGCACCGAGATCGTCGTTGGCCCGCCCGTCGTCTCGTACCGCGAGACGGTTCTAGCCAGGTCGTGCCGCACCGTCATGAGCAAGTCGCCCAACAAGCACAATCGGCTGTACATGGAGGCCTGGCCGTTGCAGAAAGAGCTCGCCAAGGCCATCGACGACGACGAGCTCGTCGGCTGCAAGGACGACACTAAGGTCCGCGCCAAAGTCCTGTCCGAGGAGTTCGGCTGGGACAAGGACGTGGCCAAGAAAATATGGTGCTTCGGTCCTGAGGCGACAGGGACCAACATGATGGTGGACATGTGCAGGGGAGTCCAGTACGTGGGAGAGATCAGGGACTCGGTGGTCGCCGGCTTCCAGTGGGCCTCCAAGGAGGGCGCGCTCGCCGAAGAGAGCATGCGCGGCGTCTGCTTCGAGCTCCGCGACGTCGTGCTGCACGCCGACGCGATCCACCGCGGCGGCGGCCAGATCATCCCCACGGCGCGGCGCGCCATCTACGCCGCGCAGCTCACGGCGATGCCCCGCCTCATGGAGCCCGTCTACCTCGTCGAGATCCAGGCGCCGGAGAGGGCGACGGGGAACATCTACAGCCTCTTGAACAGGAAGAGGGGCAGCGTGATAGAGGAGAGGCAGAGGCCGGGTACGCCACTGATCAACTTCAAGGCCTACCTCCCTGTCACCGAGTCCCTCGAGTTCACTGAGAAGCTACGAGCCGAGACGTCCGGCGAGGCATTCCCGCAGTGCGTCTTCGACCACTGGGAGGCCATCAACTCCGATCCGCTAGAGGAGGGATCCATGGCATCGAAGCTCATCGGCGACATCAGGAAGAGGAAGGGTCTCAAGAACATGATCCCCCTATCCGAGTTCGAGGATAGGCTTTGAGTTGCCCGTTTTTTTATACACATGTTATTATGTTAATTAGATCTGGGTGTAAGTTACGTTTACTGCATTGCTCGTTTTATTATTTGTTCAATAGGAAAATTTCAGTTGTATATATAAGTGTAGTTATTATGCTAAAGCCTTAATGAAATATGTCGGGTGTGAAAAAGTTTGTTCATTTCACCTTCTTAGGCTAATCTCAATGGGGTTTTCATGAAGTTTCATGAATATTAAATACGCTGATATGGCACTGTGTTTATGAAGAGAGAGATGATAAGAATTTCATGGGAGTAGAGAGTGTTAGAATTGATCTCATCCGTCTTGACCCAACGGTCGAGACGGACCCCTTGACCGCGTCCTGATCGGGGACGTCCAGCCATCTACTGACTGGTGGGCCCCCGTCGCACAGTGCCTATAAAGAGGAGGTGGGGCAAATGGCTCAGCAAACGAGGTTCACTGCCGCCACAGCCCCACTATCCTAACCCTAATCCGATCCAGAGGGTGGCACTGCCAGCGGCGGAAAGCACCACCGGACCGCCATAGCTCCACCGCGTCGGGACTCCGCCACCTCTACACCGTCTATGCCACACCGCCACTGACACCGACGCCATGGACTCCTCGAGCTCGTCCACCAAGCCCGACGGTCTGTACCTCTCCCTTTTCTCCTCTCTCTCTCTGGATCTATGTGTTCGAATGGAAGTCAAAATACCCACTGATCTACTCCTAGTCGATCCAAAACAGTTAACAATGGTATCAGAGCCGTCGATCTAGTGTGTGGATTGTGTTAGGGGTAGCAGTGTAGAAGGAGATGAGTTAGATCCGGTTCGGATCGAAAAAAGGAAATACAGAGGGTTCATCGAACCCTAAACCCTATTCGGGTGATAGAAAGAAAAAGAAGGAAGGGGTTTCAAATTCGATTCGGATTACCCTCCTAAAGAACCCTAACCCTAAAGAAATTGGACGGTCCGGGGAAGGTTTCCCCACCGCCGTCACTACCGCCTCACTCGGGATGGAGCACCCACCGCTATTTTGCTGACGCGCGGGAAGAGATGGATTAGATCTTTTCGGATCTGAGCATACAGACTAGGGTGTTTTCACTAACCCTAACCCTAAATGGGTGATGGAAACAGAGGGCTCAGATTCAAGAAAACGACGAGATCCGAACCCTAACCCACTACAGACTCGGGGAAGAAGAAGAACAAAGACCCGAAACCCTAACCCTAGATCCAATCCCCATCCCCAAATCCAAACAAGAAGAAACGCGGAAGGGGAAAGGGATGGCTTACCTCGCCGTCATGCACGCTGGCGCGCGCGGGGGGGGAGGGGGGGGAGAAAGGGCCGGCCGGGGGCACTGCTCGCTGGGATCTGGCCACAGGGGCGCCGCGGCTAGGCCGCTCGACGGCGGTGCGCTCACCCGCTGGGGAACGCGCACGCCGGCGAGGGGGCTGGCGACGGCGCCGGGGCTCGCTGCTCCATTGTTTCGCCCACTCGCTCGCTCGGTGACTGCTACGGCGGCACTGAGGAAAGAAGAGAGAGCGCAGACCGGTGAAGAGAGAGAGAGCAGAAGAGAAAATGACTTAGGGTTTCGGATGGAAGCCGGCGTCGGCGTTTTTCATTCGCCCGAAGACGCCGCGCAACCGTTCGATTGGATCCAACGGCGCTAGTTGATTGGGCCAGCGTCGCGGCCCAGGTGGGCGAGGGCGCGTGGCCGAATTCCTGGCCCAGGCCCAGGTTGCGGCCTAGGCCGCGGGGGAGAGCGCGGGAAGCGCGCACGCGGGCGTGGCCCGTGGGCCGTTTTGCCGTTCTGGGCCAGAATGCACAGTTATAATTGAGAATTGTTTTATTTTTTCAGAAGCAAATTTTGATGATTTCATTCAAAGAATGATTTAAAATCTCTGATAATTTTTGCACCAACGTGTTAGAATTTTCAAAGAGTAGAAAAGTACAGAAAAATGCTTCTGAAAAGTAGTAAAAGAAATTTTGTCAAGTTTCCGCTGCAAAGTTAAAGGTTTATTGTCTTCTAATTGAAGAGCAGTTATAGTTATTCAGTAAATGATGAAAAGTTTATCCTCTAGTTAAAATTGGAACCAACTGGAAAAAATTTTAATTGGAGGAATATTCGATTGATAGTTAAGATAAATTATAATATTGTTATTTTCTGACCAACGTTGATGATAATAATATTATAAGTTTATTTATGAGTTGATAGTTAAAGTTAAATTATGGTATTGTTATTTTTTGACCAACGTTGATGATAACAATATTATAATTTTCTGAGTTTTATGATTAAAGTTTAAATCTCTGATGAATTTTGCATCAAAGTGACCAATTTTTAGAGAATAGATAAAGATCAAAGAATGCTCTTAAACTAGAGAAATGTATTTTCATGTTTCCGCTGCAATGAAGTTGATTGTCTTCTAATTAAATTCGAACCAACGGAAGAATTTAATTTTGAGAAGCAGTTCTATGTTTTCAAGATTATTGAATTTCTATACGTTAATTCCATTTCTGCCCAACGGTGATGTGGAATTAATGTAGAAGAATGATGTTTTATTCTATTTCGGCCCAACGGTGATATAGAATAGAACATAAAGATTTTAAAGTTTAATGAGCATTATTGTTGAATATTTTTCAGACAAAAGACCTCCAAACTTTCATTCTTGAAGGCAGAAAGAGAAATGAGCTGGGTACTTGTGACTCAGATGATGAAATGCCTAAGGGCAAGTTATGTATGAAAGAATGCCATTGGTTAAGGGACTTTGTTCTCTTTAAAGAATGGCTTCAAAAGAAAAGAATTCTAGAATATTGATCCAAAAAAAGAGATAGATCAATGAGAGTCTTCATTGAGAAATTTCTTTTATGTACTCTCTGTGGAGAATAATTTATTTTTAGTTTTACTTATGAGAGTTGTAAAAGTCATATACATGTTTAATTTGACTAACATTGGATTAAACATGTGTGTTAAAAGAATATTCGGATTTATTTCTGAATTTGATGATTGAACACGAGCCAATCCTGGCAATTATGTCCGTTCAAAGGAATATCTCGTATGGCGGGAAAAAATTTATGATAGTACCCGCATGGCGGAAAAAGTTTGAGAAAATACCCGCATGGCGGGGTAAAGTTGGCATAGTACATATGTTAACTAATCCTGCATGGCAGGAGAGTTTGGCATAGTACTTATCCCGCATGGCGGGAGAAGGATGTGATGACTCATGTGCTCTAAGTGTATCCCGCACATGGAGAGAAGTTTGAGGTAGCTTTTATGCTATCCTAGTATTGACCGTACACTCTGATTGTGTCATGGTCATTAAGTACTCAATGAGTTTAAGAACAAAAGAAAGTTGCATGTGAACCAAAAGATAAGAATGATATACAAGCATGACTTGCAGAAGTATTGATAATAATAGACTATGTTGAGTTTTGAAGTGTAATGAGAAAAATGTACTCCCATATGAATTTTGTTTGCATGATGTAATCATGTGGATGAAGTAAGTAATCAAAGTTTGCTCATTCACAAGAGTTCTGAATGTTTCGAAATTGTGGTAGAAAAGTTCATACCACATTTCGAGGGGGAGAAATATAAGATTAATTAAGAAAGACAATTAAGAAAGATACTTCCCCATACTTCAGATAATGCAATGCATACTATGCATTGAAGGTAAAAGTGATCTATAAAAGATGATTGTGATCGTTGAGGGAGTAAGACGGTCATAATAACGATACCCCTAAAGTAAAGAAATAGCTAAATTCCTGGACCTTTTTATAGTTCCGATAGGAAGATAGCATAGTCGGCTAGTATTTATACTTGACGAGTTCAGAGTTATCAAGGCGGTGCTAAACGCGCCATATGAGTTTTTTAGCAGATTAAACCCAAAATAAGAAATTTGAAGATACACCATCTTTACAAAAGATGGAGTAATCTGGGGGAGCATGGTATGTAGATACCTAAGGCTTGAATAGAAGTGGGATTACATATCCACTACAGTGTTTTTTAGAGCAACAAATTGCTTAATACATGTTGATGTTGTATGGGTATACAACACCTGATGTTAGCTCTTAAAGAAGATGAATAAGTAAATAAGAATCTTATAATACAGGAGGCTATAGAACAATTGTCTTTTGGCAATGAAGAGTAACAATAGCCCCATATGAAAGAAGTGCCACGAGGCCCTAGAAGGTCTAAAGAATAAAAAAATCAGATATTTCTGGTGACTAAGAAGTCAATGTTAAGAAAGAAATTTAAATAGAGGATAATTTCACCTCATTTGAAAAAGCCATGAGAGGCGTTCACTCATCTAAATGGCAAGAAGCAAAGGAAGATGAAATGAAATCGATAAATACCAACGATCTTTGGGACTTAGAAGTAATTCCCAATGGAGCCAACACAGTAGGCTGTAATGGGTCTACAAGACAAATGTGACTCCAAAGGAAATATGAAAAAGCTATAAAGCGCCACTTGTGGCGAAATGATTTACACAAAGAGAAGGAATGGATTATAATAAGCTTGCAAGGATTCTTTTATAATCATAATGGTATTAGTGGTACATTACGATTTACAGTTACATCAGAAGGATGTAAAGACACATTTCTCAACGAGGATTTGTATGGAAACGTTTACATGGCATAACTCAAAAGGTTTTGTCGTGGAAGGAAAAGAACGTAAAGGGATGTTGCCTAAAGAAATCCATTTATGGATTAAAGCAAGCTTCAAGACAGTGGTTCTTGAAGTTTGACAGTACAATAAGAAAGTTTAGGTTTTAAAGAGAATGTAGAGGACAATTGTATTTATGCAAAGTTTAAACATGGGAAATTTATTTTCCTAATCCTGCATGTGGGTAGCACCTTACTCGCTAGTAGTGGTGTTAATCTACTGTTGGAGAAGAAGCAGTTCTTGTACTCAAGTTTCAATGAGAATGGTCTTGATAAAGCATCATTCGTTCCAGGAATTAGAACTTACCAAGATAAAAGGAAAAGGGGTATTAGAACTATCTCAAGTGTATCCTTAGAGAAGATTCTAAAGAAATAAAGTATATATGTGAATAAACCTGCGCCTGTTCCTATAGTCAAGGGTAATAGTTTTTGGAACTTTCAGTGTTCCAAGAATAAATGTGAGATCGATCAAATGGACGTCCTATATGCTTCAGGTGTTGAAAGCTTACTGAATGCTTATAAGCAAGAACTTACCCTTACACAGTTTATGTATCCGGGATGTTTTGGCAGAAGTCCAGTCCAGATGTAGATCACTAGAATGGAGTTGAGAATGTTTTGCAATTGTGGAAAGATTTATAGGCCTCATGGTGAGTAAGAAAGAATAAGTACTCTCAAATAGTTGTGGGTACAAAAGTTAAATTTTGGCGAGATGTTTAGTGAAACCCACATAGTAGCTAACACTCGCAGTTGGAGTTTTATTGTGGAAAAACTTCAAAGAAACAGTTGTGGTGTCATCAAAGATGCATAACCATGGTATAGCTTGTTATGAGGCTTAAGGACAGGCGAAATGGTTAAAAGAACTTACACCCGGAATTGATAATGGTATTCAACAGCAATAACCATTTAAGTAGTTCGCTCCTATAACAACGGTCAAGTGTGCTGCCAAACACATTGACGTTAAAGTTATACGTTGTGAAGGAGAAAGTCCGAAATCATACTAAAAGTATTGAACATAAAAGTAACAAGCAAGTGCTTGTGGATCCGCGCACAAAAGGCTTACCACCCAGTGTGTTTGGAGAACACACAGTCGACATGGGTTTATGGTATAGCCTATGATTTCCGGACAATAAAGGGCCCAAAAGTTGAAGAATCTGTTTCAGAACAGAGACGTGTATTGTAGTTGTTAAGTCTATCGACGATTGACCGTGACGATGAAGCATGCTCTATGCACTAATCCGTGATGGAACAAATAAAAGTGAAAGGGATTAAAGTCAAAGTTTAAAGTTAAAGTATGAGTTGAGATCAAGGAGGAGAATGTTAGAATTGATCTCATCCGTCTTGACCCAACGGTCGAGACGGACCCCTTGACCGCGTCCTGATCGGGGACGTCCAGCCATCTACTGACTGGTGGGCCCCCGTCGCACAGTGCCTATAAAGAGGAAGTGGGGCAAACGGCTCAGCAAACGAGGTTCACCGCCGCCACAGCCCCACTGTCCTAACCCTAATCCGATCCAGAGGGTGGCACTGCCAGCGGCGGGAAGCACCACCGGACCGCCGTAGCTCCACCGCGCCGGGACTCCGCCACCTCTACACCGTCACTGCCACTGACACCGACGCCATGGACTCCTCGAGCTCGTCCACCAAGCCCGACGGTCTGTACCTCTCCCTTTTCTCCTCTCTCTCTCTCTCTGGATCTATGTGTTCGAATGGAAGTCAAAATACCCACTGATCTACTCCTAGTCGATCCAAAAGAGTTAACAGAGAGAGTTCATGCATGGGGATGAAACTCCTCTTCACTGTTTCCAAAATATGAGTACGTTGGAAACTATGACATAAAATTGCCATTGAGACTGGCCTTACAGCTCTTAATATCAGTTGATTGTCAGGTGTGAAATACAGATCTTTTTTACGGCACCTTCTTATATCAGTTGATTGTTCGTTTTGCTTAGTATAAACAGACACACCAATTCAAAAATATCCTTTGTCAAGCAATTTCTAAAGGTCCAAACACAAATAAGATTCCATATAAGAAGTCAGAAAGACAAAAATATCCAAATAAATTTGAACCAAATTCTCTATAACTGAATGAGCATTGTAATCTTTTTCTACGACACACATGAGATTATGAGAGGTGTATATCATTATATTAAAAAAAAAGATTCTAAGCCACTCAGACAACCCCTTAAAATGGGCGTTGTAGTAGTACAAGCCTGATAACAAAAACAATGGGGCAGATGAATCTTATAACCGTTATAAACAAATATACACTGCACCAACTGTATACCTTGAATCTGAAGGAACTATAAGCAGAAATTAAACACCCACGGCCTGGAAACGTTGAGAATAGGAGGCTGCCAAGAGGGCCGCTCCAGTGCCTGAGCCATCTTCGGCAAGTTTTATCACGACAGAGGACGCCACTTCCTCCCCAAGCAAGTCTCTTAGAGTGCTCTCCATGCACTGGGCGAAGAAAGTATAGTACTTGTAAACTCCGCCATCCACAGCAATCACCGTCTTTTGTTTGTCAGGGCTGGCAATGTCTCGCCCAAGCTTTTTGAGGATGCCGTGTATCCCAGCAGCAGCAAGTCGCGCACTGCGAGTGGCAACCACCTCACAAACATCCACTACCAATTTCCTTGTTTTGCCACAGGTGTTTTCTATCTGAAAACCAATCAAGAAAACGTGTTCTGTAGGGACTGCAGAAGTGGTAGAATAATTTAACATTAAGGCTAAAAGATGAATACCCCGAAGATTTCTTTCAGGTTGATGCCAACTGTCCTGAGATCAGGTGATGTGTCTTGATGCCTCATCAGCACGTGATATGTTCTAGAATTCAATACATATTCAGCCTTTTAGTTAGCAGAAGTAGTGTGCAAAAATAAGCAGTTATGTACTCAAATTTACTTTGAAAAGCTGTCAACGCAAGCCATAATAAAGGCGAGATGGAAAACTAGAAAATTAAAGCTAAAAAAATGAGAAGAATGTTCACCATCTTGTTCATATTAATCAACTTGCAAGATAATGCTTGCTCCTGCTGAAAGTTGACTCAAATCATACTCAGGATTAGGATTCAAGAAGGGTGGCTATTAGGACTTCTAGTTCTACTAGGACTTAGTGTTGAATCCTACGAGGAATAAGAGTATATGACTCCTAAATTCATGACGGAGGACCTTGGAGGAATTCTACGAGAAATACGACTTTTATTTGCATCCTGAAGGGCCTTGGAGGATAATATATAAACAGGAATTGGGAGCCTATGGGTCATCAAGCCAAGAGCAATCAATCATCCAGGACTTGAGCAATTAGGAGTGCTCAAGAGGATTAGATTAGGCAACTCTAGCACTATATTCTTGTATAAGACAAGGATATGAGAGTCCTGGAGGGTCGAGTAGGGCCGTGAGAGAGTGACAATGACTTTACTCATTTGGAGTTGTGTTTAACAAACTGGTCGGCTTCGCCAAAATCTTATCCTCTTGTAGAGTTGTAGTGGTTGCTTCAACACCGTCATTTAGGGTTTTCTATGAGGCTCATCTACATCATTCTCGATACGGTGTATACTCGTGCCATACTCACAAGGACTGCTGCACATAATCAAGGGTATCAGACTCCAACAGCTACTCTACAGAACTTCCACTGTGGGCTAAATCAAAGCTGAATGTATATTGCTTTTAGCATCAATAGGCAAAACATTTCAGTACCCCAAAAAAAAATCTTCCAAGCTAGACTATGCTATGGATATGTAGCAGTTGCAGCTTTATTGGTAGTGTTATAGAGCCTACACGAAGTCAAGAAGTACCAGGTTGCAGGATTTTTGTAGTTAAGATGCTCATTTTTTTTAAAAGTCGGTGCTTTAGAAAAGGAATCCAAACTGCAGGACAAATTAGTGAACTATACCTAGAATGCCATACCTGAGGATATATGGGATCTCAAGTTTCGGAGGTACGTTGTCTGCGAAAAGAGAAGCATCCTGAGCCATTTTTAGCAAGACTCTTCGGACGATTTCCCCCATATACATGCCAGAGATTTAACTTCTCATAAATCTGGCAGGAAAATAATGCTGCAGAGTCAATACACACTAAATTAAGGGTAAAAGAAAGATCATAATCTGTAGCATATTAAGGGCAATACCTGTTCACCAGGGTTCAAACTTTCTGCATCCAAGGTAAGTATTGACCGATCCAAGGTAACTCAATACACACTAAATTCAGTCAGTGGAAGGTGGGAGGACCTAAAGTTCCCCCATTCCATGTTTATCACCTGATAAAAGGAAAAAAGGTAAGTTAACGATGAACACCCTCATAAACATGTCAATGCTATCAATAAGGAAAAAGCCCATATGCAAGAGTACAGTCAATGTAAGTGCCATCTTTTGTATGTTTTTTACTTTGCAATCATAGGGAGAAGTAAAAGATACTCACCATCTCTCCAGACTCAGGAGGTGGGCCACACCATTTAGGAATTGAGTTCATATGTTCTATGTATGCTGCATTAGTGCCAGTACCCAGTATAACTGCAGCAACAGTATCATTATCCACATATCTCCCAGCAGCCAATGTCCCTACTGTGTCATTGACCTGAAAAGGTACCGTTTACATTTCAACATCTACAATTTGAGCTCAGTTAAGACATGATCGATGCACAATAAATTGATACCTTTGACCATTTACTGACAGTATTTCTCCAATTGAGCGTTATATGGATATTAAAAGAAACTAACCAGTGCTGTGACTTTCATATCAATTCCTTGGCGTTTGATATCCTTGTTTAATTCTGCCACTACATCCTTTCCTACCTGTCTTCAAAACAAAATGAAAGAACTAGATTGTTCATATGATCATATCTATCCAGATACAAACATGTAAACAAGTTGTAGTTCAAAAAGGAAAACTGTTAGATATGTTCTATTAGATTTTCGATAGGATGAAGCATGGCATTTGTGCTACACTTGAAACAGGCCCATATTCTTAAATTAGAGTCTTCGATTACATGAAGTACGCTACAAGAACTGACCATTTCATCAATTGCAAAACCCTTTGTCCATTTGATAAGAGTGCCAGATGCAACTGAATTTTGCTTCACTGGAAAGGAGAATGTAAAACCAAGTTGTCTTTGCATGCCCTCAGGAAGATGAAAGCCCTCACCCTCTGAGGCAACGAACTTTGCTAAAGCAACCGCAATAAAATCAAACAGCTCCTAAAATAGAATTACAAAGAACATTATTGCAGACTTAATGTATGACAAGAAAATTGAGTTCTACGAAAATGACATAAAATAAAACTACTTAAATGAACATAATGAGATATGGACATGAGTCCTTACATTTGATCCCCTGGACATTAAATGTTGAGGTTAATGGATACGCCTTTAGATTCTTGCTTGACTATTCGCTGTTCCTTGCCCCCAAACTGAATTCATAAAACACGAAAGTTTGTTCCTCCAAGGTCAAGAGCATAAAATAGCCCTTTCTCGCCCCTTCAAGAATTGGCTTACAGAGTCAGATGTATATATATTCTAAAAATGCAAACTCATGGCAGCTGAAACATAAGAAAAGCAATCCTGAACAAAGAACGTAATGGTTCAATCTGTAACATCTGTTCAGTTCGGACTCAAACACAGACTACCAAACATCATCTTCAACCAAACTTTCCTATAATTCTTTTAAAAACCTTCAGGGTCAAAACTCTTTCCATCCCATTAAAGCACAGATCGCCACATTGCCATACGTCCATGGCAGATTGACAACCACGCTACCATTCCACACACACAAGTGGGCCTTTGACCTAAGAACACAAAGCACAGATCGCCACATTGCCATACGTCCATGGCAGATTGACAACCACACTACCATTCCTGCATTTCGGACGGATCGCTCTCCGGGTCTTAATCGAACAGGCAGGAGTAGGGGTCTGCGCTGAATACCCGGAGGGTGGGGAGTCAACGTAGGTGACGAGCATCTTGAGGAGGACGCTGCTCGCGCTCTCTCCCTCGGAGTCGTTGGAGGCCAGTCCCGCGCGCATCTCCGCGGCCATCGCGTCTGCCACCTGCCGCAGCCGCTCCGCCGGCGCCGCGCACCGCTCCTGCAGGTCCCGCGGCACGGCGGCTGCGCGTGCCCACCGCCTCGCTTCCCGCAGCCTCTGGCGTGCCATCACGGCGGCTACGGCTGCAGCTGCGAAAACCGCCGTAGACGCCACCAGCGCCGCCGGCTTCCTCGTCGGCGACGTTGCGTTCGCCTCTCGGCCTCAGGGCCACAGCGCAGCGGTCAACGGTGCCCACTGCCACGGGAGTCGGTGGCCGCAGCCCGCAGGCCCGCCGCAGTGACCGGTCACACTAGTCAACTTTCAATAGGGACTACTCCGGACGGAGCGGGACGTCTCCCCCTATTTGCTGTGTGTGTATATATATACACAACTTTTTACTGTAGAAACTTTGTACTGCAATAATTTTTACTGTAGCAAATTTGACAATCTATTTTTCCTTCTAAAAAAATCTTAGATACTTCAATGTATATAACAATGTTCAATAAAGAATTATATATGTGAAAACTTTATGTATCTAAAAATCTTTTTGTAGGAAAAACGTATGGTCAAAATCGCTACAGTAAAAATTCGGTGACAAGTAAACGAAAACGGCGGTAGTATATATATATATATATATATATATATATATATATATATATATATATATATATATATATATATATAGGTTTTGTAAAAAGTTACTGCATATAACTAAAAAGAGTTGAGTAAATAAAAATGAAAGGACACTCCAAAATTATAGCCTCTGCTCCAACAATTTTTTTTTTCAAATGAGTATACATACACAAACAAAACACGCGGAGCCAACGTAGATTGTAAGATGGATATACATCGGTCATAGCACGTCCTCTGACCTGAGTAAGTATTAGTAGCATTTGTATTTTCAAATAAATGTATTATAAAAATATATCTAATGATTAATTTAGTATTATTTATTGGACATCATAAATATATTTGGTTAAAATAGTCTATGTTTGATTCCTGGTAGCAACACTTAAACAAATAGACGGAGAGTTTTTCTACTATCCATATCCTAAATTATAGGTTGTTTTGGTTTTTTAGTTTTTGTTATGCACCTAGATATAGGTTATGTTTATACATATAATAAAATTTGTATATTTAGAAAAGTCAAAATAATATATAATTTAAAACAGGTGTAGTATAAAGAGTAAAGTCCCGTAGCAGTTCGTAAACTTGCATCCTTCTGTCATCGTGATCCCTAAACTTTTAAAACGATTATCTATAAATATCTAAACATTGTTTGGATTTGTTACACATCCAAAGATTCCAAACGAGTCTGAACCTGCTATCTGCCTCCCAATGCAAGTTTAGGGACCCGCACCGGCTCTGGGTTAAAATACTCTATTCATTCTAAATTATAAGTCATTTCAAGAATCTTATAGAGTTAAAATACCTCTAGTTTAACCAAAATTATAAAAAAATTACAAATATTTATTACATCAAATAGATATGCTATAAAAATAAATGAAGAATCTAATGATACTTAGTTGGTACTATAAATATTATTATCTCATCATATAAATTTGATCAAATATTTGATGCTTCGACTCTTCAAGATTATTAGAATGACTTATAATTTGGGATGGATGGAGTATAAAAACTTTAGACTACCAAATTACTTCCGGTATAAAATATAAAAACTTTAGACTACAAAATTACTCCTACCACGAGCAGTATAGGAATGCGTCAGTGCCAGTACCCCACCGTGCAGTGGCACGGGAGTCCAGTTCCCGAAAAAACTGGCTTTTCTCGTCCCTCCCGGTCTACTCGCCGAGTACTCCTACTCGCCTTCTTGGGTTCTTCCTCCCCGAGCCAGCCACTTCCGTCTCTAACCCTACAGCGACGACGAGAGCGAGGCCGCCATGAGGGGGAAAAAGCCGCTCAAGGAGCTCAAGCTCTACGTGCCGGCGCAGGAGACCCCCGTCGACAAGTTCTTGTCAGTGCCCTCGATTCCGTACCCTCAAGTACCCCCGTCACCCCTCTCTCTTTTTGAAGTATCCAGTGTTATCGGAGTGATTTGAGTTGTTAAAGGCTATATTTATAAGCGGGAACTTCGTTGTTCCCCTTCGTATATTGCCGTTTTAAGTGCTCTATAGATGTTACTTTGTGGTTCCACTTCCAGATCATGCATAATTTTGTCTATTCCTCGATTTTGACTATTCATCTTCTGAAGATAATGCATAAACAGAATCGATATCTTTGAATTTGATGCCTGGTGCCTTTTTTTATAGGACGGCAAGTGGTACGTTCAAGGATGGTGAGCTGCGGCTCAATCAAAGCGGCTTGCGGCTTATCTCCGAGGAAAATGGGGATGATGATGTGAGTTCCAGATCGGGCTCTTGATCCATGCTATAGTATTGTTGCGGAATGTACTTAGCATGGTGGAATTGTAGGTTTGCACATGATACTTAGTAAAAAGAACTTTGTTGTTATTTGGTAAAAAGAACTTTCATTGGTTCAACGAATGGAATCTGTGCTATGGCGCAGACTGAGTGGTGTTCTTTGTCTACTTTTTTTGTTTCAAGTTTATCCTCATGGAGAAATGTGGATTTTTCAGGGATAAGTTATAAATTTTGTGCCTTTTGTATGGACTAGGTTGAAAGGTTTCCATGAATTGTTGCTTATTATTGGTTTTCATATGCCTGTTATTTAGGTACTGTCAGATGCGCTCTTCATTTTCCTTTATGAGTCTGGAGGCTTCCTATTGTATTTACATTTGTTTTAGTCAAATTGTTAGCTTGAGCCCAAAGTCAGGTCGGACTTATTTCTATTTTCATAAGACTTGGTTTCTCAATCTCCTCTTCCGGTTATGGTTTGTGTAAAATTTACTCCATTCAGTTCAGTGAATAGAAGTGCAGACATCCCAGTTTCAAGGAAAATTAAACTCCACTGCTGGAATTTTCTCTAACTAGTTTGGATGATCTTTTGTACCCAATGGCTAATTGGCTATCATTTTTTAACTTCAATTACGATAAGGATCCTTGTTTTCCACTTTGTGTTAAGAGTGTTGACACTTTTATATTTTGGTTGGCTATCATGTAGTTTCTGAATTTGAATCACATCGTTTCCCCAGGAATCAACAAAGCTGAAGGTGGAAGATGTGCAGTTATCAATGGATGATCTTGAGATGATTCAAGTCATTGGCAAAGGAAGTGGTGGTGTTGTCCAGCTAGTGAGGCACAAATGGGTGGGGACATTGTATGCCTTAAAGGTAAACTACATTCTTTTTTCCTGGTGGGCCACACAGCTGACACACTGCCTAGATGTAGAATATGTACCTTGCATAATTTAGAACACCCTAGACATATATTGTCTCTTTTTTTTTTCTATTACTTGTGTTTCTTGGCATGAAAAACAAACCCTTGTTTCTTTATATGGTGTAATGGGTAGCTCAGCTCAGCTCAGCCCTCCCTAAGAATAGCCAGCTAGTTTGGTTTGCTAGGATAATTATCAGGATGTTAGGGGTTGTTAGGTGCCAGCTCTATACAAACAGAGACATGTCAGTCATTTGGAATCTAGCAAATAGTAATGAAGTTCTCTATGGCACATAGAGATCTGCATGGTATCTTTCTTCAAAATTAATCTTACATGGTATGCATTTTTCTGAGAATCAGAATTTTCTGCATCTTATCATGTGGTTGCTTTGTTTACTCATCTTTGTAATGATATGGCTGATTCCATTTAAATTTACAACATGGCAACATGCACTCGTGTAAAAACGTAAACTGAGGTTGCAAATGCTCAATGAATAAGATAGCCATAGCATCTACCAATATATATTTACATGCAAAACCTGTGAATAAGCTAACCATTGATGCTAATGAATGATAGTACATCAGCAAATGTATTTTACTAAGTGAAAATTTCTGGAATTCTCTGCTGAGCAGATTGCTGCGTCATTTCATCCATATGGTCTGTGACTTGATGGATTGACCAGTGTTACAATTTCCTCTGCAGGGTATTCAAATGAACATTCAGGAGTCAGTTCGTAAACAAATAGTTCAGGAGCTCAAAATAAACCAAGCAACACAGAGCCCTCATATAGTTATGTGCCATCAATCTTTTTACCACAATGGTGTAATATATCTTGTTCTTGAGTACATGGACCGTGGATCGCTTGCAGACATTGTTAAGCAAGTGAAGACTGTTCTGGAGCCATACCTTGCGGTACTTTGTAAGCAGGTATGTATAAGGTTGGCCTTTGTTTTCTGCTTTGGCTTCTCCTAATTTTGGAATAACCTCAGATTTGTGTTGTTGCTTCTTTTGAAACTTGAAACTACATTCCCACATAACACTGAATAGTATTATGTTAATTCAGGTCTTGGAGGGTTTATTGTATCTTCATCATGAAAGACATGTGATTCACAGGGACATAAAACCATCTAACTTGTTGGTCAACCGTAAAGGTGAAGTCAAGATTACTGACTTCGGCGTGAGTGCTGTGCTAGCAAGCTCAATAGGTCAGCGAGATACATTTGTTGGAACCTACAACTATATGGCGGTATGTTGAATTCATCACGTTCCATGCCATGTGATTGCTAGTTTATGTTCATCAATGAATGCGTTAATATGTGGTGACAGTTCTTTTCTTCTTCAGCCTGAGCGGATTAGTGGTAGCTCTTATGACTACAAAAGTGACATATGGAGTTTGGGCTTAGTTATACTTGAGTGTGCTATTGGCCGGTTCCCTTATATACCTTCAGAAGGTGAAGGTTGGTTAAGCTTTTATGAACTACTGGAGGCTATTGTCGATCAGCCACCACCTTCTGCACCTGCAGATCAGTTCTCTCCAGAATTCTGCTCATTTATCTCCTCTTGGTATGCTAAAACTTCTTCTCTGAAATTAATCATGAAAAATAATTATCAATGCCTTTATGCTACTTATTAGCAGAAGTATTTGAAGCTATTAAAAGCTACTTAATATCACTTGCTTATTAATGGAAATGCAGTCTTTCTGGTGATTCCATTGATCCTTACAGCTAGAGGACTTTGTGTGCTAAAGCATTCTTTTCCTGTTGGATGAGCAGTACAATTGCTGTATTGTAAGCGTTTGAGCTTCACTAGTTAATGGAACATAATGTCTCATTAGT